AGCCAGTCGATGTGGGATTAAATTCCCGCATGTACCGGGTGAGTAATCACACCATTCGATATCTTCCTATTTCATTAATTTGTAGCAATCAAAGGCTAAAAATTTCTTTCCATTACCTTTAAAATCACCAATTAGACGTGATTGAAATCTGCTGAAGGAAAATATATATATATATATATATATATAGAGAGAGAGAGAGAGAGAGAGAGAAGCATTATATCGTATGTTGTTTTTCTTTTCGTTCTCCCCCCAAACCCCCAATCTAATTTATTTTTACAGGCAAAGGAAGCCTTAATTATAGTTTTCAATTTTATTAAGCGCAATAAGGCTAGCGATTTTAGCGTGTTGATTCTACCGAGCTGTATTTGTTGGGTGGGAACTCTACAAAGGAGATTTTCTCTCTTATCACCATCTAATATTTTTCATAAAATGCTCCCGGTTTTGCCTAAAAAAAAACTACTTCTTCGTGTACAGCTCTAAATTATTTTGTCTTTTTCTTTGTAGAGTTTAGGTGTTAAACCCGCCCCCAACTCCTAACTTTTACATGGATGCCTCCGCTAACAAATATGAATCGCTAATTAGGTGTTAGCCGGAGAGTGTCCAATTACCCTAATGTTTACCCCCTCTATTCTATTTTCAATGAATGAGATGATGTCACGTAAATTACCACCGTTTACTTGAAAACCACTCGTCTTGAAAATCACTATTAGGGAAACTACTACCACAATATTAAAATTCTTACATGGCATAATCTTGATCATAAAAATTAAATTGAATGGTAGAGATTTGAATAATTGTATATTCTCTAACTATCACTTAATTAAAGAGGACCCGAACCCTTCAAAGTTTCTATAGTAATTGTGACTAAAAAGTTAGTAGGATCACTGAACTTTTGAAAAATCATAACATTGCATAATATTTATCCAAGTTTACTCCAAAATGAACACCATCGTCCGAATTTAAGTGCTAATTTGCCTTCCCTTCGGCTAAAAAGCACTTATGTAGCCTCTAGTTTCACTTACTTTGCACTTATATACCATTACTTGTTTTTTTTCTACTAGTTATATATAATAAATTGATTAAACCTAACATGTTAGTATATTTTATTGTGCAAACGTAAATATTTTCATCCGAATGTTCTTACAATACTAACATATTAATTTTAAGATTTCTTTAATGATTAATACTTTTTATTTTTTTATTGAACTAATCACAACTCTATTTTAAAATAGAATTTAAACATTTAAGTGCTATTTAACCTTCACTATAAAATAACTTCCATAAAAATACTTTTAAAAGTAGGGTAAATTGTATATGAGCCCTTTCAAAAATCTTTAATTGTCAAAACACCCCCCACAAATCTCAATATTTGTCAAAACCTCCCCCAACTCATCAATTTTATTACCAATTTATCCCTCTAGTTAACAATAATGATGCGCTTTAGTTAACTCTTAACGGAAATGAATGATATTCCCGTTATACCCAGGCCCCGCCCAAGAGGGGGGTAGGGGGGGCGACCGCACAGGGCCCCATTTCAAAGGGGGCCCCAAATTTTTAAAAATGCTCATAGTATATTTCTTAATTCTTTCCAATAAGTCTTTTGTTTGTTTAAAAAAAGACCTAATAATCTAATACTAGCCCACTAAATTAAATAATAATTTATGTCCATTGCCTAAGCCTAACTGCCTAACACCCATGACCCATCTGATTTACATTTTACCGGAAATATACACCAATTAGTACTACAATTATGATTAGTTGCTCATTTGTCTCCTAAAGTTTAGGAAATTCAATTTGAACTCATTAATTCCCAATTAACTATTCGCTATTAACTAGGAAACACACCAATAAATATAATTCAATAAATTTATAGTTCAACATTTATATAGAAGAGGGTCTTATTTTATCATTTCGCATAGGGCCTCAAAAAAAACTTGGGCCGGCCCTGGTTATACCCCCACTCTATTTAACACTAATATTTAAAGTCTCACCCACCCGGTTCATAGCAAGGTTTATAGCCACAACCCACCAAAGCTTTCACACATTGGGTTAAGGTTGAACTCAACTACAGATAGAAATATTAACAGAAAATTTAACATAAGGTTGAACTGGCGGTGGAATTGATGACTTGGCGGAGGTTTTGGTAAATACTGAGATTCGGGGGGCGCTTTGACGATTAAAGATTTCTAGGGGCTAGTGTGCAATTAGCCCTTAAAAGTAGTAGAGAAGGAAGCGCGGGTGTAAAAAGATTCAACGGGGAGAGAAAACAACGAATTTGGGTCAACCCCAAAATCCTCCGCCCTCTCCTCTCCGTCTCCTTCCTCTTCTAGAAATTTCGGCCCTCGACTAAATCTCCACCCCCCAATTCAAAAAACGCGCTGCATATTTCCTTTTTTTTTTTCCTTCTTTTATAAATGAAGCCGACTTCTTGTCACTGGAATCTCAAAAGAGGGGTTTCTAGGGTTTTTGACGAAATGAATCCGGGGAGGAGATAAATATTTCCACAGCTTTCGGTACAAAATCTGACGAAATCTCTGAACCCATTCGAAAAACGCGCTAAAATCTCGAAACCCCCCCTTAAAAAGCCGACGCCTTCGTCGCTAGAATCTCAAAAGCTTGGGCCTTTAGGGTTCTGAGGGAAATGAACTGAGGATATCCATCAGTTCTTCGGCCGGGGGTCGGAGATGGAGGGTTCGAATCCTTTGCCGCCTTTCCTCGCGAAGACTTACGACATGGTCGACGACCCCTCGACGGACGCGATCGTCTCGTGGAGCGCTTCTAACGACAGCTTCGTCGTCTGGGATCCTCTGGAGTTTGCGAGGGATTTGCTGCCCAAATTTTTCAAGCACAATAATTTCTCCAGTTTCATCCGCCAGCTCAATACTTACGTAAGTATTGTATCATTTTCTCCCCCGGTGGTTTATTGCATTTTTTATGATAGTAGAGTGCTCCGGTTCATACGATATGTTACCTTGTCATTTATGTGGTTTAATGGACGGTGAGCCAAACTATGCAGGTTAGCTATGAACATCTCTGAACTCCGAAATGCTTGTTTATCCGCCGAACTGATTAATTATCATTTGTGGTTCATCGGTGTTCTTGTAGGATTACTTCCTCGGACCTGCGGTTTGAATCGCGTGCGATGGGGGGTTCAAGGAATTAGAGAAGAAACACGTCGCCATTTTAACATGAAACATGACACATAATTTGGTTAACACGCTCCTTTTAAGAAACAAAAGAGAGTTTAGATCCGTTTGTATATGTTTTGCCGTTTATATTCTTTTTGTCACCATAAAAGAAGCAGGTGATTTGCATTCTTATTCACTTTATGTGTGATCGTTATCCTTAAGCTAATCGGGTGGATTGGTGGGGAATCGCATTCTAGCTTGCTATAGCGAGATAAAGAAGCATAAAGTAGAGACTCTGGTGTTAAACGTATTGAGAGTGAACAATGTTGTAAACACGTTTTATTATGCATTTAGTTGGTAACACATACTATAGAAAAATAGTTTATCCCTGCATAAACAGAGTATATGGGAAGATCAGTCGTGATACTTTCTGATGAAGTATCTGGAATCTGGATCTTCTCACCTTACAGTTTGAAAAGGCCTAACAGATATAAATTGTCCCATTAGGTGGATTTTTTTTCCTCTAGGTACTTGTATGCTTAGTAGATCAAATCTGATGGTCAGGATTTTTGGTAATTTGAGGCGAGGATCTCTCATGTGACTAGTAGGGTGGCCTCATCACTATCTCATCTTTGATAATTCATTTTGCAATATGAGCCGTCATCTCATACCCAAGGTGTTTTGACTGTTTACATGCAGAAGGTAGATAGATCCAGCGGCTAGATTTGGTTTGGATGGTGTTTAATTTTCATTACGTGGTGATTGACATCTACAGTTCATATGAATTATTATGCAAACACAAATCAAGCGCGCGCGCACATGCACGTTTATGGACGTGTCCATAATGTACCCATATCTAAGTTTTTGTAGAAGCTGTTTATCTGCATATCTGTGTGTTGTTGGGTTCACATCATTTATCTGTGTTTGTGCAACATACATGGAGAAGATAGTCTAAAGAGCCCCTAAATCTTACCACTCTCTTTTAATAAGCCCTAACCTTATTTTTTTTGGCAATACAACCCCTATGTTTTACCCCTATATGTTGTAAGAAGGCGGAAACTTTCTTTTTTTAAGAATTAAAGCCCCTAACTTTTAGCTATCTCTTCTAAGAAGCCTCCAACTATCTTTTTTGTTGGCAAGAAATCCCTAAGTTAACAAGAAGAGCAGGGGGTTTCTTAAAACTTAGGGGTAAAAACTTAGGGGCTTCATTGTCACAAAAAGAAAGCTCGGGGCTACTCAGAAGAGAAGGCTAGAACTTAGGGGCTTTATTGTTTAAAAAAGTAGGTGGGGCTTCTTAGAAGAGGGCTAAAACTTAGGGGCTCATTAGACTCTTCTCTCACATAGATGATAGCAAGATTCCATACGAAAGCCCATTCTTGAGGATGGGGAATCCAGAAAATTGAAGAACTTAACATACACGCGTGCACGTGCACGCATAAACTGACTAAAACTAAATTAGGGGATTTATAGGAGCTTATCAATATGTGGCCTTCCTCTAGGTTATGTGAGTAAGATTCAGGGCTGTTTGTGCTACTGCTGTTTTCTCTTAGAATGGGTAAGCAGAGAGTATAATCAAGAAGGTTGTGTTTGTTATATTACAGCATCTGAATCAGTTTTTTATCATGCCTCGTGGCTTTTCAGATAAAGCTATTGAATCCTCTTCTCTTAAAAGTGCTCTCACCCATTGTATTTGCATTATTTCATATGAATACCTAAGTCCCTCTAAAACAAAGAAATATTCCTCTATTTTCCTCCAGGGATTTAGAAAAAAAGACCCTGAGCGATGGGAGTTTCACAACGATGAGTTTATAAGAGGTCAAAGACATCTCTTGAGAAATATCCACAGACGCAAACCAATACACAGCCATTCACTACACCACCATGGTCAAGGCTCATTGCCATTAGGAGATTCTGAAAGACAAGAGCTTGAAGATGAAATCAGAAGACTACAACGAGAAAAAGACATTCTTATGGCGGAGCTACAAAAGCACACGCAGCAACAACACAGTATGGAGAAGCAAATGCAAGCTTTAGAAGATAGATTGCTAAATATAGAGGTTCGTCAAAGGAATATACTGGCTAATGTGTCACAGTTTATACAAAGGCCCGGGTTTCTCTCAAACCTGATATCTTCGTCTGATCTTCACAGTAAAAAGAGGAGATTACCTGAAAATAACTTGTTCAACGAGGATGCATTTGAAAAGATGGAGTCATCTTTAGATTCATTGGAAAATCTATTTCGTGAAGTAAGTCAGGTTTCTGATGAAGACATTTATTGTGATGGTACAAATCCTTCTACTGTTGTTCTCACCGAGATTCATGCACCATCATCTCCTATCTCTTCACCTTGCCTAGAAAATATTCATTCATCCCCCGAGCTCGAAGAATCCACTAGCTATGCAGAAAGTCCTAAGATTTTGGTGACACGTGATAAGGTTTCTGAGATCGATGTGGACTCTGAGCCTTCTAATGTGCGCACTAGGGTAAATGATGTTTTTTGGGAGCAGTTTCTAACTGAAACTCCTGGCTCAGATGAGAGAAGAGAAGCTGATGGTAAAAGAATGGAAATGGGGAGTTTCTGGTTGAATCGAGAAAATGTTGAACATTTGACTGTGAAAATGGGGCATCTTACTCCTGATGAGAAAACCTAACTGAAGATTTTGCTGAGTTTGTTGTCTTGAGAATGAGGTATGAATGTATATACTGTAAGATAGAGCTGTTTAATAATGCATCTGTTGTTTTTTTTCTTCTTGTATGCTGTTTGATTTCTACTTGTAGAATGGTAGGTTGTTAGTTTATAGATTTATTGTGTTGACTATTGTTATATGATTGATTAATTCATTTAAATGTTAAACCTTCAGTCAGTTGATCTCTATATTCATGCTCTTTCTTCCTTTCTTTCTCCTGTGGATGTGTTGATTTACTGGTCATGTTCTTCAGGGGCTGTACAGATCCATCTTTAATAAAAAATTGGACAGTAATCTCTAATAAATATTGCTTACTTTTTAGATAATGTAACTACCTTTCAAAAATAAAAAATTATTATCAATTTCTTGAGTATTTTGAGATTCTGTAGGTTGCCCATTACTTCCCGTTACCTGTATCATTAGCTAGCACAACACTTCGATGCATGTCATCCTCCTGGACCTCTAATTTTCTAACAAACAAACTAAACCCCCTACATAAAAAATCCCACCGATTTTCCAAAGAGATCTTTTGCTTTTCCTTGGCTGGAAAAATGCTTCCTTAACCCAATATTTAGAACTTATTTAGACCGTCCCTTCTTTTCCTAATGACATCAGTTACCATCTTGTCTTGCTTCCTAACAAATATTGGCTAAATAACACTTAAATATCTTATAGTCATCCTCACTTAGTTTTCGCAGCATCTATATTTTATAAATTGTTTAAAACTAGCATGTTAGTATACTTTATCCTGCAAATGTAAAAAATTTCACGCCGACGTTCTCATGTAATACTTAGCTTAAGAGTGTCATATAAGAGCAGCCATATGGAATTTTTTTTTTTTTTTTCATTTGGGTTTGCATAACAGAAGTGAAATTTTTTTGTCTTGCAATTTGCATGTCGGATTTACCGAAGTGTAGGTTTTCACAAGACAATTATAAACTCGAGTACGTTCAGTACAAAACTACAATAAACTTTTTTTATTATAAAATCCTCCCCCACTCCACCCCACTAAAAAAAAAAAAAAAATTCGTGTCCGACAATAGTTGGGCTGAGTTGTCAAGTATTTTTTTTAAAGTCACATGTTAGGATTAAAAATTTCCTCGTGACTCTTATGTAGATATATTACATATTTTATATGTTTGTCCTTTTGGTTGACAGCTATATAAACAAGATTAATATATTAACTGAATGGGTTCGGGGTCTTAACTACATGAAGATACAACGGAAAAACAGCTCAAAATTATTATTAACTGGAACGGAATATTCAATATTCCCTTCAACGAGTTCAATCCAGCATCAACTAAAGCAGAGGGACGTAATTGTGGAAGATTGTAAGGGACTAATACGTAAAAAGCCAAAACCAAAATTTGGGTACTAAACAACTTTTCCCCTAATCCTTGTTTAAACTGCCCCTTCTCCGAGCTGAGCTCTGAGCTCTCAGCTCCATCCCCCCTCCTCCGAAAAAAAAAAATGTCCAATCTCATCTTAATAAAAGCCCTAACCTCCTCATTCTCCATCATCATCTTCTTCTTCAATCTCCCAACCCTCTCCTCATCACAGTCGATCCTTCTCCCTGGAGAAGTCCGGTCGCCGGCGAGCTGCGTGCCGCCGGATCCGGCACTCAATTACCGGCCGGTGATCGGGATCCTCACTCACCCCGGCGACGGCGCCAGCAATCGAACGGGGGTCACCAACATCCCCGCTTCCTACGTCAAGTTCGTCGAGTCTGCAGGAGCTCGGGTTATTCCTCTCGTTCATACCGAGCCTTGGGAGACGATCTTGGAAGTAAGAACTCTATTTTTCTCTCTAAAATGTTAATCTTCTTTGGGATCAATTGCACTTTAATACTCCAAAGTTTAACCTTTTTTTTGTTTGCACTTTGGTACCCAGTGTTTATATCATTGCTAACCTTTGATACTCCAAAGTTTTTTTTCCCGACACTTTGATACCCAAAGTTTATAATTTTTTTTACTTTGATACCTCAAAATTTTCTCCTACATCTTAATTAATAGCACCCTAAACTTTACGCCTTTTTGGATTTGAAAAATGTGTAACTTTGGAGTATCAAAGTCTTGGAAAATATTACGTGGTATCAAAGTCAAATATGGTGTGAATTTTGGGGTATGAAAGTGTCAAATAAAAATTTTGGGCAGCAAAGTGCAAATTACCCTTTAGACTTTGATACCTGGAATTTTGTTTTGACACAATTTGATACCCCATACAGGGTTGAGCTTAGTTATGATCTAAAGAAACAAAATTTCTTACCAAATTTCAGTATTTTGAGTTTGGGGGAAACGAGGAACAAGGTAGGGGTTTGGGTATCTAATCGTCAAATTGATGTCAGTTTGAAAGGTTTGGGTAATCACTTGTCAAATAGAACTTCTGGGTGGTATCATAGTTGAGTGGTACTACAGGCACACTCACAGTCACACCACCAAACACAAAATCTCTTTTGCTACAGTGTAGTGGGGCCCACACATGTTTTTAAAAAAAATCATGTGTAGTCCCCACTGCACTGTAATGAGAGAGAGTTTGTGGTTGGTGGTGTGACTGGGAGTGTGCATGTATCATACAGAACGGTGAATTTTTGGGGGCACTAGAGTGCACATAATCCTTTTCCTAAAAGTTGAATTGATAATGAAATGTGCTGTCACGTGCCTTTTTGGGTTAGAAGCTAAAAAAAGAGTATTAAAAAATAAGGAGCTATCCAGATCTGCGAGATAATTGTCGTTTCGATTATTGCACTGTATGTTGGTTCAATTATGGACGGTTTGTTGCGTCAATTATTGAATTGTTTATCACTACATCAACACTTTGAACTTGGTGTGAGTATTGAGGGTCATAATTACACTCTTAACATGTTCTCTTGTAGGTTGAGCGTCACACTCACTTATCAAAGTTTGGACTGTTCTATGCAGCGATACATTAAAAAGAAAAAGGAAAAAAAGAGACCATTTAGATGTGTCTTGTCGTATTGATAAAACCATATTAAAGTCCTTTCCTCTGTGAAATAGAGGAGTACTCAAAGAACCATTTGCTAAAGGCCTAAACAGAAGAAAAAGAATGATATTTTGAAAAGTATCTGATTTTCGCCTGAACTTGATGCTGAAACATTTTAAATTTTCTTTGCAGCTTCATATAATCAATTTCATAATTCCTTAGTTTTCCCTTAATGTGTTTATATATGCATAAGTTAAACATGTCATGTTAACATTCTATTCTTATTGAATGCAGAAACTGAATTTGGTTAATGGTGTACTGTTTACTGGTGGCTGGGCTAAAAAGGGCTTATATTTTGAGACAGCAAATAAAATTTTTCAGGTAATTTTATGAACAGTTATTGCTTCAGAGAAATTGGTTTGTTTCTTATAATAGCTTTTTCTAAAAAATTGGATGTATCATACAAGTAATATTGACTTTGGGCTGTATGGTTCTTGTTTACTTCAATCTGTTTTTAACTACCTTTTAAATTGTGCATCTTTCTCCTTTGCCCATGGATGTAGGTTATTGCATTAAACCACATTATATCTTTGTTTACTATTTTTCTTCACTGTGTTGTACATGTGACTGTTATTGTGTGATTTATTTCTTAATCTTGGTCATCTCAGGCAACACATTGCTTCTTGCTTTAGCAACAACAAGATATTTGGCTTCCTATCTAATTGGGTGTCTCTCTGTAATGCACCCTTAGATTTGATGATGAAGATGTGGTCGTGTATTTGTTTTTGTATACATATTATTAGGTACACTTAATCCTGTATTGCAAATAGATTTCTAAATGAAGTAGTTCCATACGGAACTATGCGCTACCTTCCTATTGTTTGAATGCCATATTAGGTGTACTTTGTACTTTGTAATTTTCATTTATTATTAAGCTGGCACATGCTCAACATATTAATTCAAATATTTGTACCTGTTAACTCTAAGGTTGCGACAGTGAAGTTGGAATCTGTATGGAAATATGCATTCCCATGCATGCTTCCTATTTTTCTTTTGACATAAGTAGAACTCATAATTCCAAATATCAAATTTGTGTTGCTATCACATATATTGATTGATGGGAATGTGGTCCATTCCATGAGAGGTGGGTATTTTGCATTCCCTCCTGCTAACAATGCTTCAAAGAATCTTATTTCTAAAACAACCTCGGTCTCACCAGCATTCTGCATCCCACCACAGTCAATCTTCCACCTTATACCACCACAAGATTACTTTAATAAATGCTCGGAGTTGTTACTTTCTTAGAGACTTTGGTGCACAAATATGGAGTTCAAGAAATTTCAGAATGCATGAAACCATGGTTGCATGGAACCACGTTCATTCTAGTTTCAGACCCGTGCGTTGCACGGATTTGTTTAATATATAAAAATTGATGTAACAAAAGAATACAAAATAAACCAGTAATAATAGATAAATAGTCAGAAATAATACAACCTAAGCACATATAGATACCTGTCAAGTATATATATCTATAAATCAAAACAATAATGATCAATATAGTGATAAACAAAATATCTATCATAATCATGTCAAGTAGTTAGGTTTCTCAACGCAAAACAACCAAAAAAATATGTAGTACATACAAAAGTTTACTAAATAAGGTTTTAGACCAGAATACTAAATATAAGTTTCAGACATCATAAATCAGATTGAGCTTTTTCAAAAAGGGGCTTGAACTCTTTGTAGAATATTCTATTCCTCCTTTTCAATTTTGATTTGTTTTTGCTTTTTGTTGCTAGACATTTGCGGAGAGATCAAGTCTACTGAAACTGAGTGATCGACATCAGATTCCAATGAATTTCTCTTGCAAGGAGTAATGTTATCCGAGGAACAAATTTCAACTTCATTATCACAAGTGACCGATAGCGATGCTTGTGTTTCAGTATAACATAATAATTAGCATGTTATTGAGATGGCAGGAAAAGACTGTTGTACAATTAATATAAAGAATCAAGAAATAAATAGTAAAGCGAAAAGAAATTGGCAATCAATAGTAAAGGCATGTTTATTTTATCTGTTTAGTTAGCATACTGATAATATATAAGGAAAAGATTTTTGCACTGTTAATGTGGAGAATCAAGTGAATAATAGTAAAACAAAATTCAAAGTGATAAAGGTGAAAGAAGCAACAAAATCAAAAGAGTATTTAAAAAATAAGTATTGTTAAATATACAACAAAAGAGAATTTAAGAGTTTTGTCTTGTCAGGTTGTCCCCTTGATTATGGAGAGAGGTGTTGAGATGTTAGTATAAGTAATAATTTTGATTATAGTTGAGTCTGGATGGAGGTTGTGCATATAATGCTTTTGCGATGACATGAATACTTACCTTTCATTTCACCAAAATAAATAAATAAATTTAAAATTCATCCATCAGCATTTCAGCCCTACTCTTCTTCACGTTCATAAACCTTTAAAGTGCTCTAACAATAACTTCTGTGTCTGCTTCACTTATGTATCAATAGTTCAAAGCTCATTTTGGAGAAATGGCAGACCCAGCCTACTTTAGACCAAATCTTAGGTAAAATGTTACCATCACGAGGATAGGTTAAAACATAAAAGAAGTGTGTTTAGACGCTGGAAATATATTCTATTGTTTCAATCATTACCATATATCTCTATTTGGCACCTATATTAGATTATTGTCTCAGATTGGCAGCCAGTTTTAGGTAAATACTTCTCCTATATCTTATTGACATTCATATGTGCTACATGGCTATGAAGCACGGACACGCATAACATGAAGCCGTGTCGTGTCGTGTCTGTGTCGGACACACGTGTCGAACACACATATCCTATGTATTTTTTAGGATTTGCCTCGTGTCGGCATGTCGGATGGCCGTGTCGGATCCGTGTCCGTGCTACATAGCTACATGGTTATCCATATCATTGTTCGGTTATGTTTTGAATGCAAGCTTAATGAAGAAATTGCAAATCAAAATGTTGATACAGTGCTCTCAAATATTTCTGAAATATCATTCACAGAAATATGCCAGGTAATCATATAGACCTAACTGTTTGCCTGAGTGTCAGGTCTTTAAAGAAATATTTCAGAACAGATATGCCAGGTAATCAAAATAGTAAAAATGACTTTGATCCTCTTTGATATAAGTTACGACTGGCATTAAACTTGATTTTTCTTTGATATAAGTTTCGAAATACTTGTGTTTTAGGTACAATTAATACAAAGAATCAAGAAATCAATAGTAAAGCAAAAAGAAATAGGCAATGCAAAGTGATAATGGTGAATGTTGTAGCAACAAAAGATACTACTCAAAAGATATTAAAGAATACAAACATGATGAATGAAAAAGAAAAGCAATACTAAGTGTATCGACTTACATTATCAAGATCGTCTTTCTTTTTGTAAGATTCTGCTTCATTGGGGAAATAATCTTGTCCTGACGACTCCTAATGATTTAGAAGGAAAAATTATTAATAATATATTGCTCAACCTGATATATATATGCAGATTGATACATGAAATGAATAGATACGTAGCTCTATAAAAGAAGGAAATATGTAATGTACATGGTTCAAATATAAGCTGTCTCTGAAAGATGCTATCAGTTTTTCATCATCAGTCATTTTAGAGACAAAAAATACAGGCCAATTTTGATTGAGATTGAATTCTGAAACTTGAATCTTGAACAAAATTTTTTTTTCACCAACACATCTAACTCTTGAAGAAATGAATCATCATCACCTTCCTGTGAACAATATAAAGAAGCAAAGTAAAGCTAGCAAAATAAAACTTTTAATTTTTATAGAAAAGAATCAGAGTGATTACTTTTGTCAATATAAAGAAGCAAAATAAAGCTAGTGAAATAAACTTTTAACTTTTATAGAAAAATCAGAGTGATTACTTTTGTCAGTTGTTCCCTCAATTCGACTACAGATTTGTGAATAACTTGTTTAGCTTCACGATCAAACAGAACAAATGATGCAGTACATGTATGGTCAATGACTAAAACCTGAACCCTGTACCTGATAAAACACAACAATTAAAATAAACCAATAAGAACTGCGATCTAAAGTGTATGTTGAAGATCCAGACATCCATACATGAAGCATATGATGAAATATAACTTGTGAAGAAAATGACATACATACTTCCACACATACCTTGGGATAACAAATCATTATTTAAAAAAAAGGTTGAACCTAACAATGATAACAATGAAACTTAAAAATTAAATGACAAGATGATATAAAATAAAGAAATAACATAGAAATAACATAGAACTTACAATACCTCTGTTTAATGGGTAAACTGTTTGAGTTGAACTTTGAACATGAGTATTTTCACCAGATATTTCTGATGCTTTATTGGAAAATAACATTGACAGATAATCTCCCTCTCCGGCGTGATGTTCAAAAATAGATTGAGATGGAGAATCCATTGTACATCAAGATATTTCTTCCAATGCTTGTATATTGGAATCTTTATCACTAATACAGATTGACTGAGAAGGTCTCATTCTCTTTGATTTATATTCCGGTGTAAATGCAACATTTTCAGGACAATTAGTCATAGCAAAACTACTTGATACGACACAACTTGATATGTTCCCCAATGGTCTTCTAGTCATTTTCCGATTTCTGTGAAAGCTTATTTGTGATGGATAAGTATTCAAATTTTCTTTTCCTGCTTTATGGCTCTGATAAGAATTTAAATGCGATTCATTGCCAATAACATCCACACAAGAACTCACATCATCGTAGATGTGAGAAAAATTATTTTCTACAAAGTTGATACCTGAAATAATTTATTTAAAAAAATCAGAAAAATTGGCACAATATAATTATTAAATATATCACAAAGTTAATTGCAGAGAACCCGCAAACTATGTTGGTAGTCGCACCAAAACTTGCACTAACCTTTTGTTCCCTGAACATTTGAGGTTATTACACAAACTGTTTAATTATTTTTTCTACTATATTTTTGAAGACATTTTCAGAATCAATTCTAACATATCGTGTAGCAAGCATGTGCTTACCCAATGACATGTTGGAATTGATGGTGCTAATATATGGATTAAAGAAACAATATTTATGTGAAGTTTTATGAAATAAAAAAGGTTAATGAGTTATGTGCAATAACAACTAAAGTTCAGGGGAGCTAGTGGAATAAAAATTTTGAGGGGTTTACTAAAACCCTCAAAAATTTTAGAGGGTGGTTTCTGTAATTAACCAATAAAATTAAATAAACTAAGATTAGTATCGCACCTTGGTAGGCTCTGTTAGCCTTTGCTCGTTTGTCCAACAGCAACATTCTTCTCTTGAATCTTGCTTGTTTCTTGTTAATGTGATCCTCACTCAT